CTTTTTCTATTTTATTATTTATAGTAAAAAGTTTTGAATTTGAATCCTTTTTCATACTTCTAAAAGTATTCTAGAAGTTTTTTGGGTTAGATTTTTAAAGTTTTTCAATTTTTATTTATTGTTGATATAGCCTATTGTTTTGAGCTGCTTTGACGGCTTTGCGGAAATTCTTTCGAGCAAATAGGTAGCGATTAAAGATAGAAGAAGTAGTGTCTTTTACAAATCCCACTTCACTCCATTTTTGAAAATGAAAGGAAAGAACTTTTTTACTTTGAGTTAATTCAGGAGTCCACCAAGATTTTGAATGTATAGATCGTTTCTTTAACTTTAGGTGTTCTCTAAGAGCTGATGTTGCACTGTTAGTTATAGTTGTATAAATTTGGGTATGTTCATTCTCAAAATTACCACTAGAGTTAAAATTAATGAAACTCGAATTTAAATGAACATTATATAAGTTTATAAAGTCGTAATTATTCCAGATATAACTTGGAATGCTATAGTCCTCTGTTAAATTTTTTACATTTTCTTGATGATGTTGACCTTCAATTCCAAATGAAATCGATATTGGTAAATGATCGCTAACATTTTGAAAAAAAGGAGAAATAACAATGCATTTATAAAAGAAAAGAGATGTATACTTTAAAATAGCTATATGATCAATGTAAGAAGAGTTTGGCAATGTGAGATGTCGATATGTGATTGCAGGACTAGAATCTTTAGTTACGTCGACTAATTCTAATTCATTTGAACCAATAAATTCCGATAAAAACTTAGACAAATTGTTTCTCTTGGGGGTAGATCTTTCTAGTAGATCGTATATTCCGTAAGGAAACGATTGGAAATCTCCAAGTATAATTATCTCACCAGTATCCGCATGACTATTCATAATTCCTTTTAGTATGTCTAATTGACTTGTGTATTTCTCCAATGACGACTGATTGTTTTGTGATGAGGTTAGATATATGCCAATTACAATAATATTAACTTTTTTTTTTGTAACTTTATTGCAAATATATTATCATCTTCGTACAGAGGTATGATATTTTGAAATTTATTTTTTCGTATAAAAAATGCATTTCCACCAAAAGGTCGACCCTGTTTGTGTTTATTTGCCTGGCTGAAAAGTAATGAGTGCGAGTTTTTACAAATATTTTTGATTATATAATATTCGAGTTTTGATACCCAGTGTTTGCATAGAAACGTTATATCATGAGAAGTTATTAAGGTCTCAGTATATTGAATATTTGATTTAAGTCCCTGACAATTAAAAGTACACATACTAAACGGTTTTGCATCATTCTTTCTTTAATATATTGTTTGAAGCCATTTTGATTAATATAATTTTCTACGGTCTGCGTTAGTTTCGAAATGTTGGTCATCGATGGATTATATACACTTTTTCCGGAACAGTTTAATAATTATATTATTATCCCAAATAGACGGGTTAAATATTTTTCCTTTTTCCGAATTATATACAGAGACTCTATATGATCTATTGTATTCGTTTTCTCTATTTAAAGTAATAAATATAGGCGTAATGCCTAGCTCAGTTTCCATATGCAGTTTAAGCTGTTCTTTGTTAATTTGGTTGCTTTTGATGTCTTTATAGTTGGTGTACCTATAAAGACCTCAAATTTACGAATTATTCTATTAACAGCAATAGTTTTATTTTCGTGAATTTTTATTCCAAATATAGGTTCCGACAATTTTTATTTATTTTCTAAAGGTAAAATTTTTGTTTGGCGGACAGGCTTACTATTTTCAACTAAAATAAAAGTATTTGGATTATTATCGATTTTTGATGGTTTTTCTTTAATTTCAAAATTTGGTTGTTTAGTTTTATCAGTTGTAATTATGGTCTGTTATTTTTGAGCCACAACATTTGCAAATGTTTTGACCTTTTGAGAATGGCTTTCTGTATAATCCTTTGCAATCTGTTTGCCACAAGATTGTTGAAAGCTACTATTTATAACATTTGCGGTGACTTCAGAACTTTTATTTTCATTTTGCTTGTCTTAGTTGAATAGTTTATTTTCACATTGTGCAAAATAATCGTATTTTACGTTTTGGGTATTTTCGTTTGATACTTAAAGGTTTTCAATAAGTTTACTTTGATGAAATAATTTTTCTCGCATCAGACTAAGCTCCATTTTTATTTCTTTGTTTTCTTTTTGAATCGATTTTGTAATAGTAATTTACTCTTTAACTGACGAGATTCAAAACTTGTCACTAATAATTTCAACATTTTTGTTTGAGATTAAGGCCTAAACTATATCTTTATGAAATTGCTTTTCGCATATTGTGATCAAAAATAGATAAATATCCTCCAAACATAATGATGTTTTATATCTTTTGCAAAGATTCTTTTCAGCTGGATTTTCAAAGTCTAACGTTATATTAATATCACTGAATTGTTCTGTGTCAAATATATCCAAAATTTCAGTAAATTAGCGTTCGCGAAGAATTCGAATCAAGCTTTCAGAGTGTTAAACATTTCAACAATTGTTTTTGTAAAATTTTAACTATGTAGAATCTTTAGTACGAAAAGAGAGTAAACAAACAAAAATACCGATTTAAAGAATTTTTTTTGAAAGTATTAAATATAATTTAATACTTTCTCCGATTCTCCAAATTTTTTGCGACGTTGCAAAATGCTTTTAAGAACTTGTGAAAGTCATATTCATATAAAAACTAAAAAGCCAATACGGATGTTTTTTAAAAAACACGTCTTTGATTTAAATTTTTTTATAAAAAAAAAAAAAAAATTACCAATAGGTAATTTTTTTTTTTTTTTTTTAAGTTGATTAAGGTGCCCCAAGAAGTCCTTACGTTCTTATCACAGAGCACCGCGGAAGAGCATTTAATAGGAAGTTCACGCCTCCTTCCCAACCGATGTCGCAAAACTTGCCCTGAGGTGGGGTTTGAACCACGGATCTTACGTTTCTGAAGCAAGTATCTATTTGGTGCCTATGTTCATTAAGTTTACGTCATTTGTGTTAATAACTTTACCTGTAAAGGTAAAGTCATTAAGGGATCGTCCATAAATTACGTAACGCAAAATTAAACTTATAGACGAAAGACAAAGAATTAAAAGTTTTCCCTTGTAGAGTCTAATTAAACCAAGTAGATAAATCCAGCGAAAACTGCCGCGCAAAAGAATAAAATGATCTCCTACTTATAGGCCGGCGTCTGTGGCATAAGAATCGTTCTAAAAAAAGACATCCGTTATACCCAATAAGTAACTAAACTTTGAAAAAAGTATTTTGAAGAGTTAAAAAAACTAATTCAATTCCCAAAAGATCCCAGATTTTTACAGTCCCAAAGACCGGGTAAATTAAGGTCAAAGTTATGGTGTATATAGAAACCATCGAATAGTTTTAACCAGGACGGTTTCTACTAACAAAAAAAAACTGATTTTTTTTTTAATTAATTACGCCCAAATAATTAATTTTTTTTTATTTCAAATTTAGTAAGTATATTTTTCAACAAATTGCCTAAAGTAAAAAAAATAATTGGATGCTTTATGTTACAAATAACCTAGGTTTCAGACCTTTTTATTTTTGATCTGTTTCCAAGGGAGCTTAACTGTTGATATTTTTATGTTATGCTTCAATGAAGAACAGTAACTAAATTGGTGATTTTTAATTACAACCAATTTTAAAGGGTGGTTTCAGTTACAATTATTGTTAACCGAATTTTTAATTTATCTTTCTAGTGATTATATTGAGTTAATGAGAGGTAATAGTTTTCTGATCATTGAATCTGATTACGATAATAATGATATGGGCGAGATTAAATTAATAATCTAGCCCATATCATTATTGTAATCAGACTCAGATTTATTTGTTTCGTCTGGATATTTGTCTTCATCCTCTTCTGGATGGTTAACACCATGATTGTTGCAACCATTACATTTGCAAAGGTCTGAGCAAATTACATCAGCTTTATTACAAAAACATCTTTTTGTAGAGCATTCAAGGCGGCAATACTAATGAACAAAATTAAACATCGAAGCTGGCGCAGCAGACAATTCTATCCAATATATAGCAATAGAACCTTGATCATTAAACCAAACATTTTCAAAAGGACTTGTAGGGCTAATTTCAACTATATGTGAACGCTTTCTGATGAAAGTTTTCCTTTAGTTCAGTGGTCCTTAACCTTTTTTAGTCATGGACTACTTTCAAAATTTGGCGGAACCTTTCCAAAGTTAATTCAATTAGGTTGTTTATAAATCTATATAGGAATATTTTTAAAATAAAAATATTTTTTTAAATAAAATATTTTTTTAAGAAAACGAATAAAATCGAATTCACACGATAGTCACGATAAGGGAAACTTTGGGGGTCTATACTGGCCGCTCGGGACATTTTTAGAGTGGGATCTTTTTTTTTTAGATTCTAGGATACTTAAAACGCAAATTGGTCAATTCAGAACTTAGTTACTCGATGGGTATAACGAAAGTGATTGAATTTCATGCCACAGACGCCGGCCTGTTATATTTTTTAAATAAGTTTTGCGTTACGTAATTTATGGGCGATCCCTAATGCAAAAAATAAAATGATATTTATTTATACGCCAAATTAACGTTGAAATCAACGCAAACCAGGTTTTTTTTAAAAATTGTAGATATCTAAAAAAATCTAAAACAAAATCTGTAAAACTTTTTATTTCGTTTATAGACTGTCTGTTGTAGCTAAAACTCAGGCGACATATTAACACTGTCGTCGCCTATTCCTAAATAGTAGTAGGTTCAGTATGCTTTAGTAATATACTTTGCTGAGCTTTGTAAAATAAGGTATTAAATCTTAAAATTTAACGTCTAATTAAAAACTAAGAACTTGCGATTTTATTTTAATAGCATTGTTAACTACAGATAAAATACATACTTACGTAGAGACATTTGTTGGTGATTTTTTACTTTTTTATTATATTATTTGCATATTATTTTTTATAACTTTCTGAGGCTAGTAAAAAAAAGTAAAATTAAAAAAAATAATTTGTTTATAAAAATGAAAGAGAAACAAAAACAAGTTTACAAAATCAGTAACTCTATGATTCCTCAGCGGCTCCAGACATGAAAAACTTTAAATACGTCCATTTTATCATTAATTGTATTAGTTTATAAATTGTATTGTTGTAAAGTGTATTTTTGAACAATATTTTAAGTCACTCACTCTGTGTGTGTATGTGTGTATGCTCACTTTAACTAAAACTTCATTGAAACAAAAAATATCGTAATGTGATCAAAACATGTAAACAATATATAATTTTTAATGACATTTTGATAGCATCTTTTAATCTTTAGGTATGGTGAAGGTTTTTTGATTTTATATATATATATATATATATATATATATATATATATATATATATATATATATATATATATATATATATATATATATATATATATTCTTTGAATGTCATTTTCTTGTTATACGTTAAAATATGGTTAGAATTCAATAAATACGGCTGCATATAAACTTTTTTTAAATATATATATATATATATATATATATATATATATATATATATATATATATATATATATATATATATATATATATATATGTATATATATATATATATATATATATTTAAAAAAAAAAAAAAATAATAATAATTATATATTAAAGAAAAAAAGTATATATATATTCAAAAAAAGTTTATACGCAGCCGTATTTATTGAACTCTAACCATATATATATATATATATATATATAATATATATATATATATATATATATATATATATATATATATATATATATATATATATATATATATATATATATATATATATATATATATATATATATATATATATATATATATATATATATATATATATATATGTATATATATTCTAACCATATATATATATATATATCTATATATATATATATATATAGAACTCTAACCATATATATATATATATATATATATATATATATATATATATATATATATATATATATATATATATATATATATATATATATATATATATATATATATATATATATATATATGTATATATATTCTAACCATATATATATATATATATCTATATATATATATATATATAGAACTCTAACCATATATATATATATATATATATATATATATATATATATATATATATATATATATATATATATATATATATATTATATATATATATATATGTATATATATATCTATATATATATATATATATATATATATATATATATATATATATATATATATATATATATATATATATATATATATATATATATATATATATATATATTTATATATATATATATATATATATATATATATATATAATATATATATATATATATATATGTCAAGTGGTGTGTATTCTGACTGGGCAAATGTAATGAGTGGGGTACCACAAGGATCGGTTATTGGTCCACTACTGTTTTTGATATATATAAATGACATGCCAGAAATAGTCAAGAACTTTTGTAAGCTTTTTGCAGATGATAGCCAGCTCGTCGCTACAATCAAAAACAATATGAAAAATCAACATTTCCAAAAAATCTTCAAAAAGAATTGTGTCTTTACCCTGGATCCCTGGAATCAGTCCTAAGTTAAGAAGAGCTTTTAAAAAAGCAGGATACGCACCAGTGTTTAAGTCTCCAAAAAATCTCCTAATTTCCAAAAATAAACCTACACTACCAGTTAATTTTTTTCCCGGTGTTTACAAATTAAAGTGTTCTTGTGGCAAATGTTATGTTGGTGAAACTGGACTAAAGATATCGTCTCGGATATGCCAGCATCAAACAAGTGCACAACAAGGTAAAGGGGAAAATTCAGCTGTAGCCGAACATTCCAAAATTTGCCAAGGAAAATTCAACTGGAATGGTCGCAATACGTTAAAAATCGAAACAAATAGTTTTAATAGGAAAGTTAGGGAAGCCTTGGAAATACAACTCAACGAAAGTACCTTTCGCGACAATGGTCTTAATCGAGATGATGGCGATTATGTAACGACGTCATTTTCAAATCCCATGTTTAAATTCTTACGACACAAAAAACTCACTTAAATAACTCTCTTAAAAAGAAGCTCTTACAAAGAACATTGTTTCGTTAATTTAAACAATTTTTATATATATAGCGGTTTTGTTTTTTTATAACGGTTTTTATATACTTGATAACGAGGGTATCCATATTCCCTCGAAATATCGTAAAAATAAATATAATTTTTGCAAATAGAAATCAATCCATAAAAAGAAGTTTTGTTTTAATATATATATATATATATATATATATATATATATATATATATATATATATATATATATATATATATATATATATATATATATATATATATATATATATATATATATATATATATATATATATATATATATATATATATATATACAGGGGCGGGTTTAGCTTTTTAAAGAGGTTAGTCAAAAAAGTCGGTTGCGGATTTTACTGCCCCCTCTCCACGAAAGGACAGGGGGGGGATGAAGATGAAATACAAAAAAAAGCACCTACCCCATTTGTTTGATAAATAAGTAATTTGCAAAGCCTTCAAAAAAGCGGCTCAAATGGGGTTGCATATTTAATATATATATATTATATATATATATATATATATATATATATATATATATATATATATATATATATATATATATATATATATATATATATATATATATATATATATATAATATATATATATATATATATATATATATATATATAGATATATATATAGATATATATATAGATATATAGTATTAAAACTAGCAAGGATCCATTAAATCTACAAAAATAAAATATTGTCTGTGGTATTAAAATATTTTGTGGGCATCATTATTGTGTATAATTGTAACATATATAAATAATACACCTGTATGGAGTATAACAAATCATTAATTAAATAGGCAAGGTTTGCATAGTTAGGTGACTTGCAAATAGAATAAAAACTATGTAAAAGTAAACAACTACAATAACATTAATACCATAATTATAAAAAAACTATAATGTAATTGATTAGTATGACTATCATACTATGAGAAATGCAATAACACAAAAGCAATAATATGATAACTAACCATAAAAACCCATTTTGTTATTTTATTTCATTGATAGATATGCTATATAATGTTAAACAATTGTAATATTAATGTTCGTAAACAAAGTTATGCTTACATTTAATGTGTTGCATGTGTTTATTTTCTCTAAACTGTTGAATAATGATCAATAAGGTAAACTTCAAATAATGAAAGCTTACTAAATTAAAACCATATTTCAACTCAAATAACCACACAAGATAGAATCTCAAGGTAGAGTTGAAAAAAAGGAGAAAAAGTATATAATAGACAATGAATATAATGCTCCTAATTAAAATACCAAAGATACAGTACATAACGGTACCAGTTTCGATTAACAATTGACAGGTAAAACTAAAGATAAATATAGAAAAAAAGAATACAATAAAAATTAGACATGTTTAAATTTATAAAGATAATAAAACTTCATGAAAAAAATAAAATAACAACTAAAATAAAATAAATAATCCTTTTAAATAAATAAAACTGTAAAAAATAAAATAACTATATTTTTTAATTTAAAAATTATACAAACTTCTATTTGAAGAAGATCTTAAAGATACTGAATAAAGATTTGTATATACAGTGTATATACAAACCTTTATTCAGTATCTAATTTACAATGTAAAAAACACATAAATTCTTCCCTAACATCATAGGAATTGTCTATTAATCTAATTATTAAAGACAATTATTCCTGATTGGAGCAGTCAGAAGCTTCATCAGCAATAACTGAAAAAATTCGATTTTCTTTTATTTCAGAAACCAAAATATTCTGGATGTCCTTTCCCCAACAACTTATTAATTCATTCTGTGAGGAATTAGAAATATAAGATGCATTCTTTGCACAGCTGTTAAGATAAAGCTCAAGAATTTTATCCCCACCTCTGATTCTGTAGTTTAAAAGTTCAATAAAATTACCTACTCCACCCACTAAAGAATATTTGCCAATGACCATCACAATGACCTCTGAAAGCTATATTAAGTTGACCTAAGAAAATGATTTTCTCACAAAACAACTTTTTACAATTTAAAGCTATCTCCATTTCACATTCTTTATTAAAATATCTATATTTTAAATATTTCTATTCATAGTATTTAAAACTGTGGAAAATATGGTCAAGGCATTATAATGTAGAATTTGTACTGCGTGATGATGTTCATAAATATTTCAGCTGAGTGATATTCATAATTATTCCCGTTTTTCCCATGGTAATGTCTATTAAAAGTGCTCACAGCATCTGGCCTATATTTGAATGACTGAGAACAAATTTTTAAATCTAGAAGTTTTTGAAAGGTATTTATATCTAAACAAAAGGCAACACAAACAAAATGCTCCATCTTCAGAAGGTAAATATCTAAGCCATGAAAATTGTTTTAATGATAAAAGTTTTTAAAGATTGCCCATTTGTTTTTAAAAAAGAAGTTTCATCAGGAACAAAAACATTTTGAATCAAATTTTATATTTGTAAATCTTTCAAAGTAGAAGCCTTCGAACGAAACAACAAATTAACAATATCTGATGATGAACATAGAATAAGGTTCAATATTAAGATTAAACATAACTTTATATTTTAGGAAAAAACTGTTCTATAGTAACACTTAAGCCTTGTAGAACACACAGTTAAAAGAGCAAGAACACAAAGAAACACAGACCATAAAAATTCTTTACACATATGAAATGTTTCTTCCTTAACAAAATCATTTTTTAATTTTCCTGAGTCTATAAAATGTGTGGATACAGACACTGCTAACAAATTATCAATTGATAAAAACTCATTTGGATACATTGAGCACAAGCTTACAAACAATGGATGATTACTGTAAAAAGAGGCATTTAAATTTAAATCAATTGCTGTCAGTATTTTTAAACCCATTGCCAGACTATTATCACCACACAGATAAATCCAAAATGAGCTAAATAAGCAATTGTCAGTTGATTCAGCTGAATCAGATCTGATCAGATCTGTAACAGAGCTGTAACTGATCAGAGCTGTAACTGATCACTGTAACTGATCACTGTAACTGATCACTGTAGCTGATCACTGTAACTGATCACTGTAACTGATCACTGTAACTGATCACTGTGACTGATCACTGTAACTGATCACTGTAACTGATCACTGTAACTGATCACTGTAACTGATCACTGTAACTGATCACTGTAACTGATCACTGTAACTGATCACTGTAACTGATCACTGTAACTGATCACTGTAACTGATCACTGTAACTGATCACTGTAACTGATCACTGTAACTGATCACTGTAACTAATCAGAGCTGAAACAGATCTGATCAGATCTGTAAAAAGGGCAATTAAAAAATTTTTAAAGTAAAAAAAAATTCTACAATAAGCTCAATGGAAAATAAACTTGGATTTAATCATTTATTTACAATAAATCAGTTTGGTAAAAAGTTGAACCAATTAGATCAAGGCAAAAAATGTATTTTATAATATTATTACTATATAAATTTACATCCCCAAATGAACGAACGCAGGGATAATATGTTTACAAATTTTAAATGTAATTTTTTATTTTACTTGTTGGGATAAATAACTTAGGCGGTGAAGTAAGATTTACTTTATCCCAACAAATAAAATAAAATAATTTTTATTTTACTTGTTGGGATAAAGTAAATCTTACTTCACCGCCTAGTTGTTCTTGACTCCTGAGGAATGTCGTGCTCTACTCTTTATTGACTTATGAACAGTCAACAACTGATAAAAATCTGACTTATGAAGGAGATTAATCTTTACTGACAATTCTGAATAAAGAGTTTGTAAACTTTCAATAAATCCATTTTCAAGCAAATACCTTACAGATTGTAAATGCATGCCAAATCAAAAATTATTTAAAATTTAAAACATTCAAAGAATTATTGTTAGAAAAGGCTTCTTTTAAATTAGTCAGGGGGCAATCATCATATATTTAAATTCGACTAACTTGGCCTGAAGTTACGCTACCGAACGACAAAAATAAAACAATTTAAAGTGCTTTAAAAAGTTTTTAAAATCTCGTCAGCCGAATAAAAGGGCCAGATAAGTCGCAAGATTTCTTGACTAACTTGGTCCGAAGTTACGCTACCGAAAAAAAAAATTACAAGACGGGGCTATTGCGTGCGCATATACTTATCATAATTTAATTGGTATTGCTGTTTAGACCAAAAAAATAGAGATTTTATTTAATTTCAAAAATCTCAAAAATATATAACCTATTTCATTAGCCTGATCGTTGTTTAGTTTAGTAAAAAAGATGTTAGTCAATGCGCCTAACAAGACTAACCCTAAACCCGCCCCTGTATATATAATATATATATATATATATATATATATATATATATATATATATATATATATATATATATATATATATATATATATATATATATATATATATATATATATATATATATATATATATATATATATATATATATATATATGTGTGTGTGTGTGTGTGTGTGTGTGTGTGTGTGTGTGCGTATGTGTGTGCGTGTGTGTACAGAGAGAGAGAGGGAGAGAGATATTTATAATAAAATTGACATTTTTTGCAATATGATAATATATAAGTACCGCGTAATATGAACTAATATAATAGTAAAACTAATAATAGTAACACTAATTTTATATAAATATAAAACTTGTGTTCTAGTAGTTCACTTTAATCAAATCATTTTGAACCCTCCTTTAACTACTTATTTGGGCTATCATTTTGAATCCTCCCTTAGTTAGCTCTCATTCAAAATGATTTTTGTCTTTTCTCGGTATACCGAGAAAAGACAAAAATTATTGAATTAGAAGATAATAGGACGAGGAAAAAAATTGCTAATACTAACTATATATATAATAATAAATATAAATATTTATTTATAGTTACAGTAATATAATAATATACTAATAAATATAAATATAATAATAAATGCTAAATATAGAAATAATAATTTAACAAAGTGTTGAAATTAGGTATGGTAATGATACTACTTTATTTCATGAGTACTGTCAGGATAGCTTTGTTTAATTTTACTTATAAAAATCTTGAATTAAAGTTTTCAGTTTTTATGGAGTGGGGGATTGTTCCACTCATTGGTGCATTGATGCTTTATGAGTTTTTGCTATATTTTATTGTGCGGCTGTGCTCAACAAATATAAATTTTTTGGATGATGAGGATCTAAGGTGATAGAAGTGTTTGCTACTGATTTGGAAGAAGAAAGTGCTTTCCCTCTCTTGTTGAGTCTAACATGAAAATTTCAATTTTTCAACAACAAAAGCTTCAATTAAGTCTACCATGCAAATAAATCCCATGTAGTCACGTAGTTTTAAAACCTGTGATAATATAAAAAAACAACATTGTTAAAACAATCATTCTGAAAGTGGGTAATTTTATTGACATTGTTCTATAGTATTCCGAAAGATGGAAAGGCAATTAAATTTAGCAGATCTAATGGAATGCTCGCCAAAGTCCACCTATATGTATATTTAACAACTTTTTCTAAATATATAACCAAGTTAGTTTTGGGTCAAATTTAAGATATGCATGTCAAATATGGGAATAATTCCATAAACTAATAATTCCATATACTAGTTAATATTTTTCGAAAATTTAGGATAACTTTTTTCTGCGTTGGCACCCAGTGGGCACACGTTGTCCGGAAGTCGTCCGCTGGATGTCTCAAGGACGTCCTGACATTCATAATATGTCTGACAGACACCTTACAGACGTCTGGACGATGTATCGTCCCCCGGACGACGCACGCCATAGGGCATCAGCTTTAAAATCAGCTGATATTTTCTTTACGAGATAAAGAGTTTCTTGCAAAGTATCTAAAAACATTACATGAGTTTTAATTCTTTTCTATCAAATCTCTCCTTATTTGGATAGCATTCGTTACTGATTGGTATAGATTGGATAGGTATGCTTTTATCGAGCAGATTTATAAATTCGTTAAAAAGAATAGAAGGCGCTTTACTATTTTGTTTTGTTAAATTTAAAGAATACTTTGATGTTTGCATCTTTGAGATTTTTATTTTTAAAGCATCTTTGAGATTTTTTAGCTCAAATCGTACATGAAAATGTTTATTTTCTTAAATGTTTAAAATAACAATTAAAATATTTTTTAGCTGTTTTATAAAAATTAGAAAACTTTTAATCATTATCTGTTTCGTATGACAATGATTAGAAATGTTTTTCTGTCTGATGAAATTATTTCAAAATTATATGCTTTGAAAAGTTTTCAATAGAAATTGCAATTTTTTGACTTTACAGTCGTCTGGAAATCGTGGAAAGAATGTTAGTTTGATTTGTGCTGTTTCAAAAATGGGAGTGCTAGCTTATGAAATAAAAAATGGAGGCTGGAATGCAAGTTCATTTTGTACTTTCATTACTACGATGTTGGCACCAGCGAATAGGAATGCAGATATGGAAGCGCCGGTGTTTTTTAAGGACAGTTGTAAATTCCACCGAGGTCTTACTGTTAAGCAAACAAACACGAATGTTGAACAAACACGCATATAAGAATGAATAAACACGCATATAAGAATGAATAAATGCGCATATAAGAATGAATAGACGCACATAAAAATGAATAACCCTGTAAGTTTGAGGATTATTTTTACTGTCTATGAACACAAAGTATACTGTCCGATAGGAATATAAAAATTATGCTAAAGCTTAGTCAACAAATTACGTAAAGGTTTGGTACCGTTAATTAAAACAATTATGCTTTGTGTTAAAGTTACCGATGATAAAATTGTCAGTTTTGTAAATTATGGTTTTTACAGATGGAAACATAAAAGCACTGTTGGAATATATCGACTCTATGCTGGATACAAAATTTTGAACAATATTTTAAATTGCTAGGAAAGAATCTCATATACATTTCCAAAATGAATTATGAGATATTTGTGCTCAAGTTATAACAGAAAAATCAATTAAATAGGTTAAAATTTTTGAATTTTCTTTTTGGTTATTACTAAGGCAATAATTGACATTTCTCATTGCAAGCAGTTGAGTGTATGTATCCGATTTGTGTGTTTAATAGATAATATTAAGAAGAAATTTTAAATTTAAAGAAAACAAATGATCTTAGTGACGAAGAACTAGGTGAAATAATTATTCACACTCTTAAAAAGCATAACGTTGGCCAATTTTATTTAGTTGGTCATGGTTATAATAGTACATCAGCTATATCTAGCTGTTAATTGTTTCCAAAAGACACCTATCTCTACTTGCAGATATTTTTTATTGTAGCAGCCGCAGATATTCTTCATTGTAGCAGCACGTTCTCAATTTAGTTTTAGATTCTACTTGCTCTTAACCAAAAAATAAAAGAGATTTTCAGTACAATGAAGTTTACAAATTTTGTAAATATATCAAGAGAATGGAGATATTCTGTTTAGAGAATGCAGATATTTGAAAAGTTACTGCGAGAGTCTGATAGAACCGTTTTGCAGTTGACGAGTTTTCGTGAAACACGTTTAGTTGAGAGGCATTATTGCTTATTTATTTTTCATCGAAATGTTTAGGAAAATATTATTGTCTGATTTTTAGAGAAATCGTCCTTAAACATGACATCAAAACTGCTGACAATAGCACTATAGTGAAGTTTTTATAATCATTGTCATTATTGTAGCTTTTTGTTGCGCCAAAACGTCATGGTAATAATTGTAACATTGTCAGTTACAAGCATCCAATAATGATCTTACTTGTGCCTTAAATGCTATAAACTTTGTTAAAAAAACATTTTTAATCGCAGCTGTGTGATGAGAATTAGTCATGGGTAGATGCTATTTCCGATACTTTCAACACTTTTAAGTATTTGACAAATGCTCTAGATATTATTTAAAAGAACTTTATTTTAAAAAGAAACATTTTTGACGTCGATATGCCTTGACCTCCCCCGTCCCCCTTGTCAACAATTATTTAAAAATACAGACCCCCCTCCGCCTATTTTATTGACAAATAATGAACAGCCTCTTTAAAAAACAAACATTCTGAGTTCAAAACAAACATTTCATTTGTAATTTTTTGAAAAATAACACTGTCAACTTATGGTATCAACAACCCCACACCTATCGAAAACTTAAAAAATGCTATTTCGTAAACTGCAATTTTTTTTTTTGCAATTTTTAAATAATTATTTTAATGCTTAAATACTGATTTAACAAAACTTTAACTGCGGTTTTGATAAAGGAAATGGGCAAATATCTTAAGATTAAGATAATCTTAAGATAATCTCGTTTACCAAAGTTAAAGCTTAAAATTCTGCAATTAGCAGAACTTGAGTTTTAACTTTGGTAAGCAAATTTTAATTGCGGTTTCGATAGAGTTGATAGAATTAAGCCGGAAAGTCGAAACCTAACTTAATCGTGACATAAATTTTTGATTTCCTAAACAATTATTAAACGTATATAAGAGTTTTAACCTGAATTTATGTAATCAAGAAAAAAAAAAAACAACCTAAAAGCTAATTAAGGTTTCAAATAAAACGACAACTTTTTAATCAAGATTTTAATATTTTTTCGTAGTATCAATTTAAAGACAAAAAAAAAAGGTTTTTAATAAAACAACCATATATAATAGTATTTTAATTAATTCGTATCATTTTCTTTTTTTATAAAAATTTTTTTTTTTTTACTTTATTATCTACAAAAACAACCTAAAAAAACAGTTTTATTGCTCAAAAGTTTTATTGATCAAATAAAACATCAATAAAAACGATGTAATCATAGCATATGGCCATTGTGATCCCAAACATCTGTCTTTATGCAAATAATAACTCAACAGTACAAATTTTTTACCCAGTCTTTTTTCTTCAATATGAAGCTTAACAAATGAGCCTGGTATGGTTTCTGAATAAATTTATAAAAATTTTAAAACAAAAAATAAAAACAACATGCAAAATATAAAAAAAATAAAAATACTTTTATTTATTTAAAAAAATTAAAACTACCAAAGATTTAAATATAAACTCTTCAAAATAAATATGAAATCTGTTGTTCATCCCAACACAAAAAATAGGAAATTTATTCATCATACTCTAACACAAACAAATAGAAAATCTCTTCATTAAGTTCCAACCAAAAAAAATATTATCTTCATTGTATTTTAATTTATATGATCAGGATCTGCTGCTGATAGTAAATGCTAAGACAAAATTTCTTTTGACTCTGTTTGTGATGTTGCATGCACATACATTTAGTTGCTATTTATTGCTTGAACATGTATTTTTACTCACGCAATATAAAAAAAATTAGAATTTGATTCTATACAAATATTTATGAAAGATGCTGACTTTTGGTTATAGACTTTTTTTTTTCATTTTGTTTATTTTTTATACCGGATACATGTAAAAACATACAAGGCAGTGAAATTTCTTCTTTGTGAAGCCTACGCAATGAAAATGTTCTTTTTTCAATGTGCTTTTCATGAAGTTCGTGTACAGTAAATTTTGGTATACTATTTAAAACATCTTGCAAAAAATTATTAGCTACTTCTGTGATCGGAAACTTTAAACCTCCCATTGAACATTGTCCGGTTGAATAAAGCTTAAAACTATGAAAATTTTTTTGAACAGCTCTATACTCAGAATTCTCATTTAAAATTTCTCTCCAAACAGCAAAGCCTGATGCTGGGTCTGCTAAACAAAGTTCAGTTGAAGTAACTTCCTTATTTTTATTGTGAATTAAAATTACACCAGGAACACCTTTTCTTAAGTAACTCCATGTCTCATCATCATTAAGGGCTTGAGTATATAATGTAGCTACTGTTGGGCATATTATGACAGTGTTTGTAAGAGAGGATAATGCTAATTTTATTTTAAAAAGTTCGTTATCTTTCAATCTGAAATCATTACCAAATGACTCTTCATCCATAACTGAATTATTTTCTACTGAATGTAAACTAATAACAATATAAAAACAATATAATAAAATTTAAACAATATTCTTTATATTTACTAAAGCTAAATTTATGTATGTGTGTGTGTCAACAATATATTAATGCTTATTATTTAACTTATATAATAAAACAAACATCTACACAAATATATATATATATATATATATATATATATAAAATATATATATATATATAATATATATATATATATATATATATATATATATATATATATATATATATATATATATATATATATATATACATATATAATATATATATATATATATATATATATATATATATATATATATATATATATATATTATATATATATAATATATATATATATATATATATATATATAAATATATATATATATATATATATATATATATATATATATATATATATATATATATATATATATATATATATATATATATATATCTATATATAATATATATATTAAAAGCACTGTATGTACACAAATAGACTTTTGTTAAAATACATCAAATGTGTTACAAAAAAAAAAATACTTTTTTGAGCTTTGTTAATCGAATTAACATTTTTTGTATATAAATAAATCAAGATAGTAAAATTAAATCCTTTTGAACAAACTCGAGCCGAAAAACTTTGATTTCGTTAGTGATCGCTTTTCAGTGCGTTGTTAAGTGAACAGTTTTTTTAAACCTTTTTTATTAACATCAAAGTCCGTTTCATGATTCAATGGTCACACGACTTAAACCTATCAAATTAAAAAGTCGAGACTGAAATTAAAAAAGAAAAAAGGCAGAATTAAAATTATGTCTGTTCAATAAGTTCAATAAGTAGAGCTAGCAATTAAGTAAATACAAATATAAAAATTGCAACTTTATTCAGCAATCATTAATCTCATTAAAAAAAAAAGTCATTAAAAATATATAACTTCCAAATACGTTTTTTGTTGGCATAACTACAATTGTCTCTACTAAGTTCTATTCGTGACAACCGCTAATTGTAACCGCTAGCAAATGACAAAAACGGAAACTGCTGATTGACAAATAATTGAAGTTAATTAAGAAAAAAAAAATTCTAAATAAACAAAAACTCTTTAAAAATGTATATATTATATATATATGTATGTATATATATATATATATATATATATATATATATATATATATATATATATATATATATATATATATATATATATATATATATATATATATATATATATATATATATATATATATATATATATATATATATATATATATATATATATATATATATATATATATATATATATATATATATATATAATGACCAGAAGAAGAGTAAGTCAAGCCTTACTCTTCGGCGGTTACAATTAATCGCATGTGATCGTTAAATTTGGAACGATGAAAACTTCAAAATTTAAAATAATTGAACTAATAAAAAAACTTCAATATTTATTTTAATCTAAGAAACTTGAAGATTGTTCAAATGCTTTTAATTTAATATTTTTTATTATTTCGAATAATTAAGCGAAAATTTATGCTAATTAACGACATTAACTTTTGCACAGTGTCTTTGGCAGTTTTTTTTCCCAACTAATGTTCACTCTCTAATCAAATCTTTAGGTGGACTTATTGTTTTGCGACTTTTACACAAATATCCTTGCTAATTCCCCAAAATTTCTCAGTGGGACGGAACTGTGGGCAGTTTTATGGTACGAATTTGATGTCTCTCAAATTGTACCACTCTATGGTCTTCTTAGAATAATGAAAAAAAGCAAGATCAGGCGAGAACCAATAGAGAACATTGTGACTTCGAACTAATAAAGGACATTGTGACTTCGAACCAATAGAGGACATTGTTACTTCGAACCAATAGAGGACATTGTGACTTCGAACCAATAGAGGACATTGTGACTTCGATAAAATAGCAAAAGTCTAACTTGCAAGTATTCCTTAATGTAAACACCTGAGTTTAAAGTTGAAAATGTGACAAAAGCTTGAGTTCTCAAACCAGAGCTGCATATTGCTTGCCACAAGAGAAGTTTCTTACCAAATTTATCCAATGATTTATACTTGAACTTGTTGCTAACACGTCCACGAACAATTGAAGTGTAAAATTTTGGACCTGGGAGCTGTTTAAAGTCAAATTTGATGAACATTTTGTCATCCATAGTTATGAAGATTTTAAATTTTGTATGCACTTTGTCATAAAGTTTTCAAGCTCGAGTTTTAGCAGTCAGCGATTGGTTATCTGGTCAATTTGGATATTTAATGGCTCGATAAGACTTGAAATTATTAAACTTTTTATCTTCCTGACAAAAAAATTCTAAAACTTTATACCTTTTCTCTGTTCTGACTCGTTCTCTGTTCAAATAAGCCAGGATTTTGCGTGAATGATTGTCGAATAGTAATTGCTCATTAAAGCCACTCTTTCTTCCAGACCCTTTTGATCGTTAGATAGATAGAGAGCTCTTGTATCGTTGTATGACCATATAAACAGTAGTTTTGCTATATTTAGATGCTTTAGCAAATAAAAGTAACAATGCAGATGAATTTTGAGATAGTTGTGCAAAATTTTTTTCCGTTTTTCTAACTGTTTTGATGACATTTTAATTAAGAGAAATGTTTTTAATCGTTTGGTAATTTTTTAATTAATACTATCATTACTTAATGTAATTACGCAAAAAATATATATATATTTTGTATTTCATTTTAAAAATTAAATTAATTTTGAAAAAAAATGTGCCTAAAAAGGTTTATGAAATTTATGAAGGAGAATCTTTAACAGTATCAATAATAAGGGCAAATCTGTTATTCCACCTCTCTTGTGCGGTTCACATTGTGTCACCTTGCCTAAAGACAAAGCTAAGTTGTTTGCTAAGAACCTTTCATCAATATCATCTCTTGATTTCACTAGTTGCGTTCTACCTAATATAGCCAAAAACAGGTTGATACATTTCTTGGCATTTGTATCACTCCAGCTTCTGTATCTAAAGTGATTTCCTGCTTAGACTCTTCTACAGCTTGGTTTGGACAACATACCTGCTGTAGTCTTGCACAAGTGTTCTTTGGAACGGTCGTTTATACTTTTAAAACTATATAACAAGTGTTTATATGAGCCTTGTTTTCCGGCATACCGAAAAACGGCTTTTTTAATCCTTATATTCAGAAATTCTGGAGAGCAATCTGACTCGTCTAACTATTATCCGGTTAGTCTTTTTCCTATCATAAACAAGGTTTCCGAGTCTTTAATTAACAAACACTTAATTAACAAAATCTTGAATCTAATAACTTACTTTCTTATCATCAATACGCGTTTTGATCTTTTTGTTCTACAACTGATTTGCTAACAGTTGTAACCGATAAGTCTTATTGTGGGGTCCTCAGGTCAGAGGTCTTATTGTGGGGTTCTATATCCTTGGCCATACACTCTTTTTAATTTACATTAACAATCTTCCAGATATTTTCACATCTAAGATGGCATTGTTCACTTATTTACTATTATCTTACTTTTACTAATTTATTCTTGTCTTGATTTGATTTTATTTTGACTAATTTTATTTTATTTTGATTTTATTATATTTTGAGTTAACTTTATCTTATTTTTACTTTATCTTATTCATTCTTATCTTGATAAGAAGCCAACACTCTCTGATTGCTTGGGGAGGGGGGGCATTTGAGCTTGAAAAGGATCTTACTTTTGCTACTGCATGGAGCTTGCAGTGGCTGGTGAACTTTAATTCAGATAAGATCAAATACTTCCCGCAATAAAATTTAGATCTTCCTATACTTATGAACTGTAATGTACTTGATCAGTCATTTGCCTTTTCTTCTAGGATTAACTCTTACTTCTAATCTTTCTTGGAAACAGTGTATTAAATCCATTGTAATATTAGCATCTGCTAAGGTTGCATCTCTTTATCGTACTCGCCACTTTCGTACTTAGGATTCTATTTTCGTAATCAGGATCTCTATAAATGATAAATCTATAAATCTATAAATCCGTTCTTGTATGGAATACTATTGCCATATCTTTGAACAATGCCCTTTCTCTTGAAGACAAGGTGCAAAAACGCATTGTAAACATAGTTGGACCTGCTCTTGCAGCCAATCTCCAACCATTATCACATCGTCGTAATTTTGCTTCTTTTTTTCTTTTCTACAAATACTTTTATTTTTTTTAACGGGCACAGCTCTTAAGAGCTAGTTTTTTCTTTAGTCACTAAAATTCATTTTCGTGTTACTCGTCATTCAATTAGGTCTCATATTTTTTCTGTAACGATTCTTATGTGCTTCAAAAACTCTTATTCGTCTAGTTTTTTTCCTCGAACAAATTTTTTTTTTAATTTAGCTTTCTTCATCTTGCTTTCCTCATTGATATAATTTGCAATCTTTTAAGTCGTCTGTCAATACTTATCTGTCACTACAAACTTCGTCTTTTCTTTCTTTTTACTCAAACAAAGATGTTGAATATATATATATATATATATATATATATATATATATATATATATATATATATATATATATATATATATATATATATATATATATATATATATATATATATATATATATATATATATATATATATATATATATATATATATATATATATATATATATATACTCGACGTTTTCAATGGTTTTACATACGTTAATTAATGTGTGCTAGATAGGTAGGACGCCAATCAAGTTTATCAATTAAGTTTAGATAGAATCGATTTTAGATAAAAAAAATTAAGTGTATGTGACAAAATAATCGAATCTTTTAACAGTTCTACTACTATGGCGTTTGTGGCAAAGAAAGAAAAAATATTAACAAAAAGATAAAAAAGTAAAAAAACTCAGCACTATTATGTTTATGTAAAGTAACTGATAATGTTGTGCCAACGCAACTTGTAACATCGTTCTAACATTTTACCAACGTATGTGTGCTAGCTGGGAATCCTTGTTCGACAAAAAGTTTTATGAGTGTGTTTCAAAGAAAACCACATGTAGATTAAAATTTACTAGTTCTTTTTTTATACCAAGTTTGCGTTA